GTTAATCATTTCTGTAAGTAACCGTCATTGTTGTATTTAAGAATTGTCTCAGGTTTGCAGAGTTGTCCTGATCTGGAAATTCAAGCTGAACAAAGCGTAAGAAATGTATATAATCCTGGCCTATTTTAGTGAATAATGGATATTATTTAGCATTAAAAACATCTTTATAGCTATCAGGAACCTGTTTTAGAAAGGATAACTGCTATTTGACAGTTAAATAAAAGGAATGCGTGAGGTCATTCCTACCCATAATTCAAAACCCAAGTCAAATGCCGCCTACCTCTCAAAGCCTCTCCTAAACCTCGTAAATAGATGTGACCACTTTCTTTTCCAAACTCTAGTCTTTGGATATCTCCAGGTACTCAAATACAGTAAGTTATAGAGAATGATGCCTTCTTGAGAGTAGGTTTCATGTCTGTCTTGTTCTCACTGCATCAGTGGTGCCCATCCCAGGCTTTGTTTTTAGTTAACACTCAGTAAATGTTTATTGAATGAAATGTCCATATGCACCATAGGAGAATACTTTGTAGCTGGCTTTAATAAACAGTCCTTGAACTAAGAATTTTAGAGATTTAGTCCCAGTCACTCGCTTATAGCTTTGTAGCTGTGTGCAGGTCATTCAACTCCTCTGAGCCTTATCAGTCAAATGGGAATATGAATAATAGGAAATGAAGACCTGATTGAAAAAAAAAAACCTTTGTGAAAGGAACACAAGTCTAAGGTGGTACTATCCCTCAGGCCCCTTGCTGCTTCCCACGCAGTACTTTACATGTATTAGGCAAACAAATACTTCATTTTTTCTAATTTAATTGAATAGTAATGGTATGTATATTATTCAAGTCAAAGTTTGGCCCTAGCAGTTGACAGATCATTGTTGAAGCCTGGAAATTTTACCAAGGGAAAATGAAATGATCTCCCTTGTGGAGGCTGACTCTACTACCCTAGGACAGTTTCATTATTGAACCAAGGATCAATGGAAGAGGAAGCAGCCTGATGCCCAGGGATTTTCTTGGTGCTTCCTCCTGGGCAGGCACATGCTGGACCTGGGAGGCAGAACAGGAACTTGCTACCCTCCATCTTCCCTCTCACAGGAACCACTCAAAGGAAAAAAGGAACCACTGCCAGAGGAACAGAGGTGGCTGAGTCAGGTCCATCCTGGCTGCTGGAGGATTGCCCCGGGGCTGGGATGCTTTGTATTCTCACCCAGCTACCTTCTGTGGCGTCAGTGACTTAATCTTTTCCTTGTGTGGTATGAGGAAACCAGCAAATGAAACCCAGAATAAAGACATTACCATGAAGGCTTTCCTTAAAATACATTTGAAAGAGTGAAACTGTAACTAGAAGAGTATTTCCAAGGCAAAGGTTATTCTAGCTTAGACCTCCTGGGTTTAGGGGATAAGAGTGGCCCTTAGATAAGAGTTTGAGCATGTTTGTTATAAATAAAGCCATTTCCCTAGAGCCTGGCAAGTTTTGCAGAAGGCATACCAAAATGTAATTGAAATGTGACTGCCTCTTAAATTGTGAGATTAATTTTACACTTAACAAATGCTTTAAAAAAATAAATGAACAAGTGGCCTTAAAGTTCAGGGTGTTAATATTTGAAATCTGCCCAATTTAATTAGCAGGGTCTTAGAGACTGTTTCCTTTTTCTCTGGTCAGTGTCACTGATCTAACACCCAATTTTCTTCTTGGTTGTGAGATAGAAATTAAATGTATTATTTATTTAGCTATATTGTCCTGAATCATATCTTCCCAGCATACATTTTTATTTCAGGAAATAGGATGCATCCATGTGGAATTTACTCAGTAACTCTTCCTAGTGACATTTGTGTGATCTAATTAAAGGACCTGACGTGGTCTCCACATGATTTACTTGCATATGATGCAGTTATTTTTAGTACTGTATTTACATTTTTAAAAACAAGAATGCACCTTCTTGATGGAACAGACATGCATTTTTAGATTCACAGACTCAAAAGCTATGGAACAGAACAGTTTCTTACAAATTGAGGCCAAATATCTTTTTTTGTATCAAAGAGATAGAAACTTGAGTCCAAAAAGAGTTAGTGGCCCTGAACTAAGGTCACAGGGTCAGTCAGTAATGGAACAAAATAAGAAACTAGATGGGTTCCCAATTCAAGGCTCTTTTTTGTCCCAGATTTTAAAATATAGGTGTGGTTTATATTAACAGTTTGTTACGACATCTGCAGCTTGTTAAAACAGTGATAGACTACCTAGCCACATAGCTACTTAAATTATCTAATTTCTGCATGAACATATTACAGTATATCATAGTCCCTGTAGCTACCTGCCCTGGTTTTTCTTTCCCTGCTTATATACTTATTTTTAATCTCGTGTGTTTTTTTAAGCCATCCTGAATCCTTCTTTGAATGATATAGTGTCTAAACAAATACTCAAAGTGATGCTTTGTATTAATGCTAATTACCTGTGTTTCCATAGTGTCTTTGACATATCAAAGATTTTAGCAATGTTAATTATCCTAACAGTATTTTGTCTTTTCCACCTATCAGAGGTAGCAGTAAAAGCAAACTTCCTAAATAGTTTGCCTTAAAAAAATTATCATTCTTTCATTGTTTCAGAAGGTAAAGACACTGTGCTCCCCATAATAAAAACCTTGAAATTGTTTCTGTTCAGCCTAAAAAATGACTTAGGAGTGTATTTAGTATCTTAAAATGGAAGACTGGCCGATAGGATTGAAATATTACCTAGGTATTTAAAAGAGTATTGTGATTTATGGTCAACTGGTTTTCAACAAGGGTACCAAGGGCATTCAGTGGAAAAAGAATAGCCTTTTCAATAAATGATGCCAGGACAGCTGGATAGTCACATGCAGAATGAATCTGGAACCCTACCTCATACCATATACATGTTAACTCGGTATCAATCAAAGATCTAAATGTAAAAGCTAAAATTATAAAATTCCTAAAAGGAAATATAGATGAAAATTTGTGTGATCTTAGATTAGGTTTCTTAGATATGACATGAAAAGCATAACCAACAAAGAAAAAACAAATAAATTAGACTATGAAAATTAAAAACTGTGTGTGTCAAAGGACACTGTCAAAGAAATGAAAAGATAATCTACAAAAAAGAGGATAAGATAATTTACAGAATGGGAGAAAATATTTATAAATTTTGTGAATATATCTGATAAGGGTCTAATTTCCAGACTATATAAAGAGCTCTTACAACTCAACAATAGACACAAATAACCCAATTAAAAAATGGCTAAAGGATTTGGTCAGACATTGCTCTAAAGAAGATAAACAGATGACCAATAAGCATTGTAAAGATGCTCAGCATCAAAAGTATGATGAGATATTACTTCACACCCACAGGGATCCTAGCATATAATTTTAAAATGGACAATAATTGTTGGTAAAGACGTGGACATTGGTGGTCGAAATGTAAAATGATACAGCTTCTGTGAAAACTTCTGGTACTTCTGTGGCAGTTCCTCAAGAAGTTAAACATAATTATCATCTGTCCCAGCAATTCTGCTCCTAGGTATATACCTAAGATTATTGAAAGCATATGTTCACACAAATATCTATGCACAAATAATAGCTTTATTCAAAATAACCAAAAAGTTGAAACAACCCACATGTCCATTGACTAGGGAGTGGACAAACAAAATGTGGTATAGCCATAAAATGGAATATTGTTCACACATAAAAAGCAGTGAAGTAGTATTACATGTTGCTAAATGGATAAAATTTGGAAATTTTATGCTACGTGAAAAAAGCCAGACATGAAAGCCATGTATTATATGACTCCAAATATCCAAAGTAGGCAAATCCATAGAGTTAGAAAGCAGATTAGTGATTGTCTGGGGATAGAGGGAAGAGAGGAATTGGGACTAATTGCTAATGGGTGCAGAGTGTCTTTCTGTGATGATAAAAATGTTTTGGAATTAGATAATGGTGATGGTTGCACAACATAGTGACTATACTAAAAACAACAGAAGTATATACTTTAAAGTGGTGAATTTTATGTTATATGAATTAAATCTTAATGTAAAATACTGAAAAATTTTAAAGCATGTGTACCCAAAGATACAGATGTTATGAAAGATTAGAGACAGATTATGAAGGATTTCCAATGCTAAAGAAGTGAAATAATTTGGTACCCTCCCAAAACCCCTATGACTGATAGAGAACTTTGTCTGTTCTGTGGCTTTCAGAGGATTAAGAAAAAGGCTCTGGTTTGGTTTTTACAGCTTGACAGGAAGAATCATAGTCATTAGATGGCCTTCTGCTCAGAGCCGAGGGATGTCATTAGAGATGTTATGCAAATTGAGATGATGAAACTAAATTACGTCCACTGAGTAGATCACCTGTAGTTCAGAAATAGCATAGGAGTTGGAAAACTAACAGAGGGTTGGGGTAGACTGATGGGATGTGATTTTTCTTTTTGAATGTAGTACAATCCAACAGGAGCTCTCCCTAGATTTTGTGCTAAAATAAGAGCATTTTCACACATTTTAATTGCTCTGTGATAACAGCAGTGTGAGCTCCATCCACAAACATTTATTATCTACTTAATTTTGCTTTAATTTCAGTGTAGCAAGCATTCACCTTGTAAGTGGGAGTAACTGTCCATTTAGTAAAAAGAAATCCCTTCTCACATTGCTAATCCTGTTCTGCATTTCAAGATTAATAACAAATGACCTTTATATTTTTCCATTTTTAGGTTGCATTTATAGAGTACTATTTCCAAAGTAGCATCTTTATGAACTGGAACCCCAATTGCTCCTTAAACAATAATAGTAAAGAGTATTTTTTTTTAAATTGTAGAAGTTAAGGTTTTACAACATTTATAATCAGGATTTTAGATGAGACTTTTTTGCATTTATAAATCTTTAAGTACTTGGTGCTATAATGTTCATGATAAACCATATAGAACTGTCCTTGAGGTACATTTTAAAAATGAGATTTATATAACTTAATAACTATCTGAATTGTTCATTTATTTTCCAGACCTGTCATTTACTCCATCCTTTATAGTGATGCTACAGGACAGAGAGGAATGGATAAAAACATTGGTGAGCAACTCAATAAAGCTTACGAAGCCTACCGACAGGCATGCATGGATAGAGATTCTGCAGTAAAAGAACTACAGCAGAAGGTATGTAGTTTTGGTTTTGAAAGTTGTTATTTATCTTAGTAAATGGAATTTGAAAGTCTTATGCAATGGAAGAATATTATATTGTTAGTAAGTACCTTGAAGAACTAAAACACAGGGATATATTAATGAATGAAAGTTGAGATTTTTTTTTGCTATCTTTTTTAAAAACATTGTGAACTGTGGGAAGAATTCATTTAAGATGATTACGTTGAGGAAATGTGAAGAATGTTATCTTGTATAAATGTTTTTTAAATAAAATGACAAACTGAAAATCAGAAGTATCAGCTAGTTTTATTTTTTGTTTTTTTACATTGTTACTTGGCTGGCAGGAATGCTGTACAAATCTTAAAATATCCTGGAACTAAATTTGTTATTAACTTATAGTGGTCTTCCACTCTTTAACTGTAATGGTTTAAAGTAAACTATTTCAGTGAAATCTTTAATGACTTATCAGAAGTTTCAGCTTTATAAAACTACTCTTGTACACATAAAATTTCTGTTTAGTACTTTCAGTTTCAAAAGAAAGTAAATTGGAGGAAAGATATATCCAGACAAAAATTACTTGGTCTGTAGTTCCCAGGTACATGTCTGTTGTTGGTCAATGATCAGGTTTTCACCAATCTACAGCAAGATGAGAAAAATGAGAATAATGTAATGAACTTTCTATAAATACTAAATTTATTCAGTTTAAAATTTTGTCCTGTATTCTGATGCTGTTTCCATGTTTCCATACTATCAGAATAAAGGGCAAAATTTTATTAGCATACACATTTGTCAAACAATGATCATAGTTTTTTGTTTGTTTTTCATTACTTAGTGCTTTAGACGTTCACAGTACTACCCACACATTCTGTTATTCTCTACAAGGATTCACAGGAGTGAGTACCCAGTCATATTCAGAGCTAACGTTTATTATTACAGTGACATTGTAAAGATAAGCAGCCAGGCATTAATGGGAAAAGACATCAGGTGGAATCTAGAGGAGTTCGTATACAGGCTTCTTACACTCTTTCATTCATTTGAAGGGTCACACAGAACGCATCCTCTCTCCAGCTTAAAAAATTCACTCAACACATGTGCAGTGCTTCTGCACAGGGAATTCCATTTGAGGCTCAAGAGTTTGGGGCTTTACTAAGGAATGGTTACACAGGCACCCTCTGTCAACCAAAGTTTTAGATTCTTGAAGGGAAAGTACTTATTCACCTTAAATTTCATTGTACAGTCTAATTAGGAAGCTGGCATAGCACTTAGAACCTTATCACTTAGGAAGTGTTTTCAAATATCAAGTTTCTAGATACCAATCAAGGGCTAGCCTTGAAAATAGGCCTTTCTGAAGATAAATAGCCTAAGGCCTGCTATGTTATATTATTCCTGTATAGTCAGTTCGAAGTGGAGGATCTTTCGTTGGTTCCCTCAACTGAAAAAAATTTTAATAGCCTATGAAATTCTGAAGTCTAAGAAATATGCTAGCCACACAGTTCTTAGTTTCTTCCATAAATATAGGAACTACACAATTCCCTTCCTCCTTTCTATTTAATATACCTACTATAAAACTAGCTATAGTACTTACTTTCCTGCATTCCTTAGAAATTATCATTATTCTTTGTGATTCTCCTGTTGGTTTACAAAAGAATTCTTCCAGTTATATAGGTAAATTTATGGACTAGAGGTCTTCATTAGGGGTGCATAAGAAAAATAGAGAATGATAATGACAGGGCACTTTCTCAGTTATTGAAATGAAGTTTAGAATTTAGATTTCTTTTCCTATCCAGTTTAGATATAAGACATAATCACTTTTTAAAAAAACAAAATAAAACTTTCCAACTTTTATTATTCTTACTTTCCTATTAGGTTCACTAAGAAACTTCAACAATGCTATACTTGTTCTCAGAAAGTTAGGAAACACAGAATTAGGGAAAAGGAGTATTGAGATATTTTGGGTAAAGGCAGAAAGAGGAATTTCTCTATCTCCTCCTCTTCCTACACTGGTCAGTGGTAAGCAACTGAAAATTTTTGTAATTTAATCTCTTATCTGCCGTGGAAGAAGCCTTCACTCACAGCAGCAATTATCCTAAAGAAGGTAAAGAGAAATGTTTTTTGTGTTTCTCAAGAATAGGAGAAGAAAAAATATATACTGTATGTTCATATATGTTAAACTCTAAATATCCTGATTTTAGAAACATTAAGTGTCTGCTCTATACTGGGCCATTAATGAGGTTCTGAGAATACTGAAATAAAACATGGTTTGTGCCCTTAAGGAACTTTTCAATAAGTAAAAAAGAAAATCAGTAATTATTACCACAGCATACAAAGTGCTACAGTAGAGCTCTGTGCAGTATAATATGAGCACAGAGAAGAGGCACTTAACTCATTCTCGGAGGATCAGGTCATAAGCCCACTACCAAGCCCAACACGAGGTAAGATTAGGAAGAGTTGGGTAAATTAGACAAGAAGGGTCCTGTGAGCAGGAGGAGCATTATATATAATAAAAACTCAGAAGTGAAGGAAGGTTTGGTATGTTCTGTGTACTGTAAGGTGATCCTGTGGCTCCAGGGAGAACAATAGGGCAATATAAGAAAAGAAGCTGTGAAGGTAGATTAGGGCCTTAACATGATGACTATGACTAAGTAGTTTGTACTATATTCTTATTCATTCATAATTTACTGAAGGATTTAATATATGCTTTAGAAAAGTCTTCCTGACAGTGGGATAGATGATAGATAGGATAGAAAATAATGTGGATTTCACTCAACAAACATATATTGAGGCTAAGCAATGTTCTGAGACCCAGGAGTATAAAAATAAGTGGCAACCATCAAGTTGCACTAAATATATATATAGTGCAATAATATACACACACATACATATAATTATATATAGTATCTATTAATATACATATATTAAATATATATGTATGGTATATTATACTTCAACTTTCAAAAGAAGAAATGAATGGAAGTCATTTCAAGCAATCAGAATGAGGACTTAAATTAAGCATTGGGGATGAATTGGGAGATTTAAGATTTATTTAGGCAATAGAATGGAAAGCAGGTGGCACCTGAATATAAGTCAATTCTGAGGGTTATGGCATAGATTCTAGGATAATACTTAGGTATCTGGAAGAGAAGATGGATTATTGGTGGTGCTGATGACTGAAACCAAGAATGGAGAAGGTTCAGATTCAATAAATGGGGAAATAAGATGTATAATTAGATTTTAGTTATTAGATTTGGTTACCTATGGGACATGCAGGTGAAAATGTCCAGTGAATGATTGCAAATACAGAGCTAGGAGCCTAGGTAGAGTTCTGAATTGGAGATTAGAGATACAGATTATAGAACAGCAGATTTCATTATAGTCTTGAATGTGTGTAACATTTACAAGTTAGAGTATTTAGGGGGAAGTACTATTTGAAGGACAGTAGGGTAAGAGGAAGGAAATAAGGCCCCAACCAGTTGGTCACTGGAATTTCAGAAGTATGTTAAGGAATTGATTATGAACAAGAGGAGAAATACAGGTTTCTCTGAGAACTGGAGGGAACAAGAGAGGAAAAGTATCTGCAGATGAAAATAAATTTGCAGATAGGAGGTGGAGGTGGCAAGATATTAACAGGATTATCATGTATGACTTGCAGCTGGAATCCAAAAAAGTCAAACCTATTTTAAAAAAACGCAAAACCAGAGAGTAAAATGGTGGTTACCTGGAAATTGGAGGGAGCAGATAAAATTGATGGTGTTGAAATTTGTAATAAGTGGTAAATAAACCATAGAGATCTAATGTACAGTATAATGAATATAGACAATAATATGTACTATAATAATTTAATGTAATAAATATACAACAGCAATCATATTACAATATATAAATGTATCAGTAACACACTGTACACCTTAAACTTGCACAATGTGACATGTCAAATTTATTCAATTAAAAAAAATCAACAAAAAAATAGAAGGTTTATCATATAAGAGTCTTTTTTCCTGTGAAATACAAGATGAGGTCACCTACTGAGTGAAGTAATTTTAGGATATTCTGTAAGTGGTAGTAAATAACTTCAGTTAAAAAATGAAAGAAGACAACAAGTTTCTACTGTATAGCACAGGTAACTATATTCAATATCTTGTAGTAACCTATAATGAAAAAGAATATGAAAATGAATGTATGTGTTTATGTATGACTGAAATATTATGCTGCACACCAGAAATAGACAGAACATTGTAAACTAATTGTACTTTAATTTAAAAAGAAAAAAGAAAGGAAATGAAAGAAGAAAAATGTTACATCCAGCCTTTACCATGAATTTTTGTCAGTCCATGTTTGTTGGTTATTTTTTCAGCAATGTTCTTAATATACAAGTGGAACAGCTAGGTGGCCAAATCCAGGATTAAGAGATTGTAGAGTTTAGAGTAGAAGAATTTCTGATTAGGTGACCAGAAAGTGCGTACAAAAGCAATTGAAATTATATGCTTTGCAATATAAGCTAAAATCAGAAAGAAGCTACTCTAGAAGGAGTCCAATAGACTAAGAACAAAAAGGGGGTTTATGGCTGAAGTATTCATGAAGTAAGAGAACAGATACAGAAAGAGTAGAAGAATGTGAGCATTCAAAGGATGAGTTATTGTCAATGAGTAAATATTGATGTTTAGGATTTTCTGTCTTCATAATGAGTATGCTTAAAGAGCTAAAGAAAAACAGAATCAAAGAACTAAATGAAATCAGGAAAGCATAATATGAAGAAAATGAGAAAATCAACAAGATTAAAAATATTAAAAAAAGAACTGAACAGAAAATCTAGCTGAAATATGTAATAAGTGAATTGAAAATTTCACTAGAGGGGTTCAAGGACACACTTGAACTGGCAGAAGGAAGAATCAGTGAACTTAAAGACAGGTCATTTGAAAGAATGGAGTCTGAGGAACAAAAAGAAAAGAGAAAGAAAAAAGTTAGCAGAGCCTAAAGGACTGAGAGGACACTATCAAGTGGAGGAATATATTCATTGT